AAATGACATACAACGTGGATAAACACTCAGCTTTACTCTGTGTAAAAGTAATAGTTAAAGAACAGTCAAAGAGTAAGAAGAAATTACAAATGTGTTGGGGCTGGAGAGATAGTACAGTGGGTAAGGTGCTTGCCTTGCATATGATGGACCTGGATTTGATCCCCGGCATCCCATATGGTCTCCCAAGTACCTCTAGGGGTAACCCTTGAGCATCATTGGGTATGGCCCAAAACAACAGAAACCCCCCCAAAATAATAAATTACAAATGTGTCTATTACAAATACAAATTAAAGTATATATGCTATATTAATCATTGCCTTCTTTCCCACTCAAGTGGCTCACAATGCACAAATGTAGCAAATTAGTAACTGTTAAATTGGCAATATAAGAGGGAAACTGACATTACCAAGTTGGGGGCTGGCAAAAGGGAGGGGAGAGAGGTAAGTAAACATGTGTTGGACACAGTGTCAGAATAATATCCACCACGAGAAATCATTAAGAGTACTTTTAAGTCCAAAAAGAAAATAATTTAAAAATCACAAAAAATTGATGATGCCATTGCCTCAATTTGCAGCATACTTACCTCTATAGCTTTTTAGCTTTTTTAACTGTATGATTGTGTGAATAAGTTAATTTCTTTGTACCGATTTCTAAGAAATGTTTAGTTGTACTACAGTGTCATATCAAATATCACTTTTATTAAGTAAATCACTGACTTGAGTTTGGAAATCTTTTTCTACACAAAGAATGCCCCCTCCTCCTTTTTTTTTTTTTTCCGGTAACAGGATTTGACCTGTAACTATTATTGAGAATTTTCTTAGAGGAGTTCAAAGCATTTTACAGGGATCATCTCATTTATCCCTCGAAAGTAAGGCAGGGGCATTATCTCCACTACAGACTGAGAACACTAAAAGGCCAAGATAGGTGGGTTTTTTGTTGTTGTTTTGCTAAGATCAAAAAGTAATTCTAGGGCAAAGCCAGATTCCGGTCTGACCTTGTTACATGATGCTTCTGCAGCATCCTAATGCAATGCAGTTACTTCTTTAGGTCTCTTCTTGGTTATGCTAAATGTTGAATCATTTCCAGAGTTGACTTCTAATTCTTGCTCCACAAAAATGGATCTTAAGATGAAAATACAAAACAAACCCCTAAAATCCTTGAGATACAACATACAAAAGAAAGGGAGAAACATTTTCCCCACAAATCTTCTTTCCTAGCCAGTGCTATCCAACTGAAAAATAATGCAGGTCACAGATGCAAGTCTCATAGAATGAAAAAAGTGTAGTACTATTTCACTAAATTTTATTTTATTTAGCTAAATGCATCTGAACGTCTGCTCCCCCTAGGCGGCTTGGTGGCCGCCATCCTCCAGAGGCCATTGGGCAGTCAGGTTTGGGCCCTCAGTGAGTATGATATCGGTGGGCCCCATGGGTGACTTATGACTTATGTGAAGCGGGGAGGAGAAAGACGGTCACTTTCTCCCCAACCGCCCCTGCCACCCGGGACCCCAGTGGGCCCCACGGGTGACTTATGTGAAAGGGGGAAGAGAAAGACGGTCACTTTCTCCCCAACCGCTCCTGCCACCCAGGATCCAGGGTTACTGGGTTCTTGTCTAGCCTCGCAGAAAGAAATTTCAGGAGTAGACAAGCAGTGAAATAAATAGATTTTATTTGGAGGATTTTTAAGGTGTGGAGGGGGAGAGAGTGAGAGAGAGAAACATACTCAAGAGAGAACATGGGCTTCTCCAAGAGTGGAGAGAGCCCCTACACACATCCTAGCATTAGACACGAAAGCATGAAAGTACACACCTCAAGAGGGGAGATTTGGGCGACAGATGTGCTAAGGCACCGCATGTGCTTGGCCACGTGGGCGCAAGCACACATGGGCTCAGGCAGCACATGCGCGCCCTTCCTTTGTTCAAGGTGGGCTTTATAGGGTTTCTCCAACCTGCCCCCATGTAGGGCCTCTTCCTAGATAAAAGTCCCGTTGCTAAGGAGGTTACCAGGGAGATTGGGAGTGGTGATGTCTTCTTTGGGCTGAATCACTAAAGTTTAAATCAGATTAAGGGAGAGCTCCTAGAGTTTGAGGAACTTCATGGGGAGAGGTTCAAGTTCCTTTAGGGACTGCTGATGGTCTTATCAGGTCTTTGTTTTCTGTATCCACAAGGTGGATCAGTCCTAGAATTCTTCTTCCATGGAACTTTGTTAATCCAAGTTTCAATGCCAAGGGCCTTTCCCTATCTACCTGCCTACGTCAAAGCAGACACGCGGGGACTCACAGGATGGGGGTGGAGGCAGCCCTTTTCTCCTAACTAGACCCTGAGTTGCTGCCCATGACGGCCTTTCTGGCTCCTGATCAAGCTGCTTAATGGCTATGATCCCAGAGACTCAGGAACAAATCTTGGAACCCAGCAGGTTTTGGTAGAAATCCCTCCAAATTTAAGTATTAAAATTTCGGAATTTCAAAATTGCGCGGCCACAACTGCAGCCATGTGACATGTTATTCCTAACCAGCAATAGAAAACAAATTGTCTACTGTTGCCTTTTCAGCAGATCTGAGTGTTGTGATAAAATCACAAATAATAATGGTGGGTTTGGTGTCAAAATATTGAATGTCATCAAAGTAGAGAGTAATGTTTCCATATTATTGCCCCACAGGTAGGGGGAGGGTGTGGGATGGGGGTATACTGGGGTTTTTGGTGGTGGAGAATGGGCACTGGTGAAAGTATGGGTGTTTCATTGTATGATGAGACTTAAACCCGAAAGCTTTGTAACTGCTCTCATGGTGATTCAATAAATCCCTGTATCACTGTCCTCCTGTTGTTCATTGATTTGCTCGAGTGAGCCCAGTAACATTGTGAGACTTGTTACTGTGTTTGGCATATCGAATATACTGTGTTTGGCATATCAAATACGTCACGGGGAGCTTGCCAGGCTTTGCCGTGCGGGCGAGATACTCTTGGTAGCTAGCCGAGCTCTCCGAGAGGGGCGGAGGAATTGAACTCGGGTCGGCCATGTTGGCTGTGTGCAAGGCAAACGCCCTACCCGCTGTGCTATGGATTCAATAAATAAAATTATAAAAAATGAAAAAAAAATGTAAGGTGGAGTTCATGCCCAATTCAATCAGCTAATCAGTGGCTGAATAAATAGCAGTACTCCCTATGCAGCTGTTAGAAAGGATGAAGTCATGAAATTTAAATACAAGTGGTACTACACGAAAAGTATCATGCTAAGCGAAATGAGTCAGAAAGAGAGGGGCAGACATAGAAAGATTGCATTCATCTGGGGAACATGAAGTAACAAAATAGGAGAGTAACACCCAAGAATAGCCGAGACAAATACCAGGAGGTTTACTCCATAGCTTGGAGGCCAGCTGCACACTCTAGGGGTAAAGGCAGCTAGATAGAGAAGGGAGCACCAAATAAAGGGTGCTGGGAAGATCCACCCAGGATGGGAGATGCATGCTGAAAGTAGACTATAGACCGAACATGACTGCCATTCAATGCCTCTTTTGCAAACCACACCCAAAAGGAGAGAGAGAACAGAAGGGAATGCCCTGCCACAGAGGCAGGATGGGATGGGGGGATGGGGGAGTGGGAGGGATACTGGGATTAGTGGTGGTGGAAAATGGGCACTGGTGGAGGATGGGTACTTGATCACTGTATAACTGAAACCCAAGCACAAAAATTTGTAAGTCTACAACTGTACCTCATGGTGTTTCACTAATAAAAATGTAAAAAAATAAATAGTACATAAAAAAATAAATAAAAAAAAGGTAAAGGTAAAGGCCCTCCCGTTGATCGTGGATTTGCTCGAGCGGGCCCAGTAACGTCTCCATTGGAGACTTTGTTGTTACTGTGTCTGGCATATCGAATACTCTCATAGCTTGCCAGGCTCTCCGAGAGGGGCAGAGGAATCGAACTCGGGTCGGCCATGTTGGCCGCGTGTAAGGCGAACGCCCTACCCACTGTGCAATAAATGCATCTGAAAAATTTTTTGGGGGGGGGTTAGGGTGTTAACACCCAGCTGTGCTCAGGGATCACTTTTGGTGGGGTTCCAGGGACCATAGGTGATACCAGGGCTTTCAGAAACACGTGGGTGGGCCATGTGCAAGACAGGCCAGCACCATAGCCCCTTTGGGGGTTATGTAGCCTCTATTGCTCAAGCGTAGCCTCTATCGCTCTGGCTGCTGAATCAACTGTCTGTTTCAACATGTAACCAATGTAACATGACTGAGATATTTCACGGTCTTTCTTGTGCATCAATCTTCAAGACCTAGTGTTTATGCCTCGGTGACAGCACGCTTTCTGATCTGGACCTGGCCCAATCCAAACGTTGGCTCCGACAGCCACGCGTGACGAGGGGCCACGGGCTGGACGTGGTAGCTGAGCTTGGGTTCCTCTTCGAAGGAAGGGGTTGAGCAGGGGGAAGGACTCCGGGGTGCTCCCTCTCGCTCTTGGGTGTTGGCTCCCAAGAAGATCTGGCTTTGCCACGTCCCGGTTCTGAGCCGAGAGGGATGGTTTCCAGCACTGGACGGCCGCAACTCTCCTCAAAAGTCCAAAACACGAGGTCATTGCCGCCACCACCACGGCGTGAGAGCCAACTTCTGGAGCGGCCTTTCGTGGGTGGGGGGCCCGGCGTGGGGCCCGTGGAGAGGAGGCACATCCGGGGTGGGGGGTTGGGGGGAGAGAGCCCGCTTCCGTCGAGGCCAGGTCACCCCAATGGGCGTTTCTGGAGGGGAGGGGCTCCCACCCAGTCGCTTCTCGAAGGGTCCGGGCTCCTCTGGCGGCCGGGTCCTCGGCGCCGTCTCCATGCCGAGCCTCCCCCTAGCACCCATCTATGTGCTTCCCCCTCGGGCCTTCGCGGCTGGGGGGGAGGGGCCGGCGGCCGGGCCCCGGGCCCGCAGCACCCCGAGGCGGAGGCGGCGGCTCCCGGGCCGCGGCGGTGAGGGGCGGGCCCCGGGCTCGGCCCGCGCCCGCGCTCCCGGTGACCCGGCCCGACATGGTGCGGCCGCCCCGGCCGCGCTTCCGCGTCGGGCCGAGCCCGCGGCCGCTCCCGAGCAGCCCGAGCCGCCCGAGCCGCCCGCCGGGCCCCGCTGGCAACTGCGAAGCCGCCGCCGCCGCCGAGGGCGAGAGGCGGGAGGCGCGGGGCGAGCCGGAGGGGAGGGTGGCGAGGGGCCGGCGGAGGAAGGGGAAGGGGAAGGGGAAAGCGGCGGGGCCGGGCGGAAGAGGAAGCGGGGCGCAGGGGAAGCCGGCGCCGCGGCCGGTCGAGGGGGCTGCGGGGCGAGGGGCCGGGGCGGCGGGCGCGGGCGCGGGCGGCCGGGCGCGGGGCTCCGCGGGGGAGGCCGGCGGCCGCAGCCTGGAAGGGGCGAGTAGGCTCGCAGGGGACGAGGACGCGAGCTCGGGGGCCGGAGCGAGCGATGCGGGGCAGCAGGAGGGCTGGAGGGGCAGGTCCGGGCGGCGGGAGGGAGCCCAGGGCCCCGGGGGTCAGGCGTGGGGCCGCGGCGCAGGGCCCGGGGCGGCCATGGCGGCGGCGGAGGCGGCGGCGGGGGCCCGGGAGCCCGTGCTCTGGCGCCTGCCCGAGGAGCTGCTGCTGCTCATCTGCTCCTACCTGGACGTGCGGGCCCTCGGCCGCCTGGCGCAGGTGTGCCGCTGGCTGCGGCGCTTCACCAGCTGCGACCTGCTGTGGCGCCGGATAGCCCGGGCCTCGCTCAACGCCGGCTTCTCGCCGCTCGGCACCGACCTGTAAGCGCCCGCTCGCCCGCCCGCTCCCCGCCCCGGGCCGGCCCCGCGTCCCGGGAAAGGGCGGGGCGCCGTGGCCTGCTGGGCCCGCGGGCCGCGGGGGGCACCCCTGCCTGCCGCGGCCCCTCCCGAGCACCCCGGGGGGGTCAGCGCCTTCCCGAGTGTCCCCACCCCCCCCACTCTCCGAGGAAGCCTGTCCCGAGCGTCCCGCCGTCGCCACGTTCCCCCTCCCCTCCCCCTCTCCCCCCTGCCCAGGGCAGCCCCTCACCCCCGCGCCACCCCCACCCCCACCCCACAGACAGTTTTCCCGCTGCGTGACCCCTTTGGCCCGGGGCACTGTCACCTCTGCGGTTCTGACATCTGGGGCCACGGTGGGGTCCTGCCCGAACCTTTCCGGGGGACCTTTGGCTAAAGGTGTGAGGGCCCATGTAAAACGGGAAAGGCCTCGGCCGTCCTCGTCCCAGATCAGCCCTAATGTAGGATGCCACCCAGGCCTAGAAGGACCTTGGCAGGGAATTGGGCCTAAACTGGATTGGCAGGCATAGGATTGGCACGTTTTGGGGAGGGTCGGGGAATTGTGAAGGCAAAATTTCCTCCTGGCCTGTTTGGAAGAGGGAAAAGCAAAAGTTGGGGAAGGGGTGAAAAGAGCTTTCAGAGGGTGACCAACGCCATCCAGTTTGAGTTTTAAAGAGGCCTGATGGAGGGTGGTGGTGGAAGTAGGATAACAACATCAAAGATCTTTTTTAAACAAAACAGAACCAAACCAAACCCCGCTGAGACTATCATCTTTAAACCACTATTTCAGCTTTTATTATTATTATTATTATTATTATTATTATATTTTTTTGCATTTTGGGTCACACCCAGCGATGCACAGGGGTTATTCCTGGTTCTGCACTCAGGAATTACTCCCGGCAGTGCTTGGGGGACCAATATGGGATGCTGGGAATTGAACCAGGGTGGGCCGCGTGCAAGGCAAACGCCCTCCCCGCTGTGCTATCACTCCAGCCCCAACTATTTTAGCTTTTTAAATGACATTTTAAACACTTCTTTCCCTTGTTAATTGCTGTCTTATCTGAACACAATAGGTACATATTTATCAACTAGATCATAAGGAGATTATAACTTTCATGTTCTGTTCTCTTTTTTTTTTTGCTGTTACAGTTCAGTGTTTCTCAAGTGGGACCTATGGCTTCCCTTTGGGCCTCCAGAATATTCCATGAGACCACAGTAGGGAACTAATGGGTAACCACGAGGACAGGGGCCACAGGAAGGAAATAAGGTCCTAATGGGACGATGGCAGGAAAAAAGATTAAAAAACAAAAATCCAGGGCTGGAACAATAGCATAGCGGGTAAGGCATTTGCCTTGCATGCGGCCGACCCGGGTTTGATTCTCAGCACTGCCAGGGATGATGCCTGAGTGCAGAACCAGGAGTAACCCCTGTGCATCGCCAGGTATGACCCAAAAAGCAAAAAAAAAAAAAAAAAAAAACCCAAAAATGAAATGAAAGATGGATTTTTATAATAACTTTATGGACATAGGTCACATACCATTTATGTGTATCATTTTGATACATTGTATTGTAGCACTGTAGCACTGTCCTCCAGTTGTTCAATTTGCTCTTGCAGGCCCAGTAAAGTCTTCATTTTTGAGACTTGTTACTATATTTGGCATATTGAATATAAAGCAAGGGCTTTGCCATGCAGGCCGAAATACTCTCAGTAGCTTGCCGGGCTCTCTGAGAGGGGTGGGTGGAGGAATCGAACCCGGCTCAGCTGGGCTGGCTGCGTGCAAGGTAAACGCCCTACTGCTGTATTATTGTTTTGAATTAATTCCTTAGGATAAATTCTCAAGATTGGCATTATTGGATCAGAGATTAATGACTTAATACATGTTACAAGTTGTAATTCACTAGCAGAGATTGACAATCAGCTTCATGAAGAATTAAAAAAAATTATTTTGGCAAGCATATAATGGTAGAGCAAAATTTTGTTATTTTGCCTTTACACTGCCCAGGATACATATTTTCCATGTCTTTGTTTCATTTGTGAGGTTGACTGTTCCTAGTCTTTGCCCATTTATTAACAATCGGAGTCTTGATTTTCTTTGAAATTCATAATCTTTGTGACACTAGGCTGTAGTCTGATGCATCTTTGATGCAAACATTTTTCTCATGTCTTTTTACTTTATGTTTTTGCCTTTGGATGCTTATGCTTGTAGTAGATTTTGACATTTGTGATTTTTCCTACCCCACAACCAAAGCTGAGACATTTAGAAATATTTGCTTTGATATTGTGGTATAATTTGATTATTATTTTTAAAATAATGCTTTTAGGCTGCAGAGATAGTATAGGTGTTAAGGTGCTTGTATGCCACTAACACTCTAACCCTGGTCACTCCTAGGAGTGATTCCTAGGCATCAAGATAGGCATAAGCTCAGGGCACTGCTAGGTGTGCCACTCATCCTGAAATCCTTCATCAAAATCATTTCTCTCCCTCCCCCCATCTCCTCTTCTTCTTTTTATTGTTATTGTTGCATTGACTAGGATCACACAGTTTCACCAGTTGGTGCTCTCTGGGGTTTACACATCAGGTTATGGTGCTTGCACACTTGACCATATTCATCAGTTGCAGTCCTTGCCCACTTGCTGGCTGAGCCACACAGGTTATGGTTGTGGTTGCTAGAAGTCACTTGTTGGGGTATTTGAATTTCCTGCCTGTGTGCTCACACATCATTTTTGTTTCAGTGTCTACTGGGAGTTGTCCCCTTTTTTGTGGTGCTTTCAGACACCTGGCTGTGTAGCTAGAAATCATGTGTGGTATCAGGGATTACAGGCAGCTGAGCTACTAGTCTCAGAAAGGAATGCATAGAGTGAGTTCAGTTTTTTTTTCTACCTGGTTATCACTGTACTTTCTAGTAAATGGTTCTCTTTCCTCTTGTTTTAGAAAGTTTACTTTGCCAAATATTGTGCTCGTGGGGCAGGAGCAATAGCACAGCTGGTAGGATGTTTGCCTTGCACGCGGCCGACCCAGGTTCAATTCCCAGCATCCCATATGGTCTCCTGAGCATTGCCGGGGGTAATTCCTGAGTGCAGAGCCAGGAGTAACCCCTGTGCATCACCAGGTGTGACCCAAAAAAAGCAAATATATATATATATATATATATATATATATACACACAGATATATATATAGTGCTCGCTTTGCAGGCAGCACAATACTAAGAACATATACTAAAATTGAAATGATGCTTTGCCAAATATTAAGTTCATACATAGAGTATTCGATATGCCAGACACAGTAACAACAAAGTCTCCAATGGAGACGTTACTGGGCCCGCTCGAGCAAATCGACGATCAACGGGAGGGCCTTTACCTTTACCTTTATAATATTGTAATATGCATGGTACTAGTATATGCATATATCATATATGCAGTCCTGTGCTACTTAACTGTGATACTTGTGCACTGTGTGGCATTTTCATCCTTTTTTGTTTTGGGGCCATATCAGTGGTGCTTGGTGTTCTACTCCTATCTCTGCTTGGGTCACTCCAAGCTGTGCATGGGGGACTGTGGGATGCCAGGGTTTGAAACCAGGAGTCCTTCATGCAAAGTTTGTGCTCAGCCTGTTGAGCTTACTCTCTCCTGCCTAGCAATTTCATCATTGTGTGGATTTCATAGACTGTTGGTGGTATAACCTACTATTGGTCTCATAACCTAGCCAGGTGATGGGACCATTGTGGTAAATGTAGCCTATCCTTGACTAAAAAGCCATTAAGTGACTTGTGAGCATTGTATATTGGATTTATATATGGACGGTTTTGTTTGATCTATTTGTCCATTTCCTACTATATTAAATGTTAGGGTATGTAATTTCTTTTTGGTAGAATGTAATTTCCCTTGGGGTTAAATTATTTTTGTTCTGTGTGTGTGTGTGTGTGTGTGTGTGTGTGTGTGTGTGTGTGTGTGTGTGATGTCTCTCTTTAAAACCAGAGCAAAAAAATTTTCTCTGTCTTTTCAAAAGTTCCAGGGGGGACTGGAGTGATAGTACAATGGACAGGGCATACGGACAGGGCATTTGCCTTGCATGTGGCCAAACTGGGTTTGATCCCCGCCATCCCATATTGTCCCCTAAGCACTGCCAGGAGTAATTCCTGAGTGCAGAGCCAGGAGTAACTCCTGAGCATTGCAAATGTGACTTAAAAAAAAAATGTTCCAGAGGCTTTCACTATAAAATAAAACATTGTTTCATTTGTTCCTAAAAATCCTTGACTATGGCATGCCTTATGTTTTCATTGAGATTTTTTGGTATGTGGTCTTATTATATTTATTTTTTTTATTCTTTTTTTTTTAATAGTGCTATATTCTTTTTTAATTTATTTTTTATTTTTTTTATTAGTGAAACACCATGAGGTACAGTTGTAGATTTATAATTTTTTGTGCTTGGGTTTCGATTATACTATATTCATTTTTTTAAATAAGAACTTTTCAAAGAACATCGAACTTAACCTGTAAGCGAATTTGGCTAAAATAACTGGAACTTTAGCTAGTCAAGGCAAAATTAGGCTTTTTCTCTGTATGTTCAACCATTATCAAATTGAATAAAATAATTGATTACAGAAAAGAGAAATGCTCGGAGGACTGCGAGCAATGATCCCTAATCACTGCAGGGACCAACCCCTAAGCACTGCATTGGGAGTATCCCATGAGCACTACTAGGTATAGACACCCACTCCCAAGAGCTGATATTTATTTTTTTGCTTTCTTTTCAAATATTCCAAATGAGAAGCAGTGGGATTGTTTGTTCTGAATGTGTATTCTTTAGAAATAATAACACAGTGAAAATATATAAAGGATGTTGAAGGGGCATAAAGATAGTAGCCTGGATAGTAGGCTCCAAAGTATAATAAGGAGCATTGAGTAGTTAGCTTTGGGCTAATTAAGTGCATACTAGACGTTGGAACAAGCTTCATAAGTGTAATATAAAATTTGATTTTGTCAGA